TGTCAGGTTACTAGGACCAAAGACAAGTGCCAAAGGGTCTCTTCAGAGCCTGTGGTAACTACCCATTCAAGGTGACTGAGCAAGGCGACTCAGAACCCAGGAAGGGGGACCTCGGGAAGGCTGCAGCTTGCCTTGTACTCGGTGCTGAACTCAATGCTTTTCTTCTAAACGTGTAGAAGGGTGTGCGTGTTTTTGTTCCTTTGGTACGGCATTCTCTTGTAGGTTCTAGTCATTGGAGTAAAAGAACAGCAAACAAATTGCAACAAGTAAAACTGTTGTGGGCCAGCGAGATGGCTCAACAGGTAAAAACCCTTGCTGTACAAGCCTGGTGACCTGGGATTTGATCCCTGGAAGGAAAGAACTGAGTCTTGAAAGCTGGCCTCCAGAGACGTATCTTGGCATATGTGTGCCCCCCTCACAATGTCATACACACTACTAGCAACAACAAGCATAAGTAAAATTATCTTAATTGTACATATATACGTATATATGCCTACGTCTACAAGGATATTCCAAAGCTAAAAAATTAAACTGAGTGACATTGAAGTGTTACAAAATTCAAGTTCTGCCATCAGTTAAATTCTGTTAGCAGCTCACAGTAGGAATAATTTAAAGCTTTTAGTAGTCATTTTAATGAAATAAATATATATTCTACACTGAAATATTGTTGGAGTGGAAAGTCTGAGTAAGTAGATTTGTTACATGGAAAAATAAGTAGTATTTTGATCATTTGGAGGTACTTGCCATCTGTAAAGTTGGTGGAATCAGAGCAGTAAAAATTAGGCCAGAAATTAACAACCTAATTTGAAATGTATTAGCCGAAATAATTTTTTATGAAGTTTAGAGGAGTTAACACTACCTGATATCAACTGCACTATAAAGCTACAATAATTAAAACAGTGTGAACTCGGCATGTAGAAAAACTTGTTTTATTTGTTTAATTGCATCTTTTCCTAGGGCTCTGGGTTTGGACTGAGGGCCTTGTTCATGCTAGGAAAGCCTGTTGCCACTGAGTTGCATCCCTAACCTTGATTGGAGATAGGTTTGATATATAGCTCATTCTGGCCTTGAGCCTGTTCCCAGGCTGGCCTCAAACTCGATGTCTTTCTGCCCCCCCTCTGGAAGTACTTTAGATAAATGGCGCAATTCAGAAATAAAACTACACATAGATAAGATGAATTTCAGCAAAGGCAGTAGGATGAATCATTGAGAAAATAATTGTGTGTGTTAATGCACATGTTTATGAGAGTGTGCATGTTTGTGTGCTTGTGTTTATGAGAGTGTGTGAGGGCATGTGTGAGTGCACCCACATGTGTGTTTATGAGAGTGTGGTATGTATGTGTATGTGCTGGGTGTGCGTGTAGTGATCAGAGGACACACTCCAGGTGTCTGTTTTCTTCCTCGATGAGATCTAGGAATAGCATGCAGGTCACTGGGCTGTGGGCAAGCGCCTTTACCCTTTGAGCCGTCACTGTCCCCAACCCCCCTATTTTGTAAAGGAAGTATTCCAACAAATGGTGCCAAAAAAAGTAGACAGTTATATGGCAAATGCTGAACCTTGATCTTACTTTATACCGTACACAAATATTAACTGGTAGTAGATCATTGACCTAAATGTAAGGGTTTAAAGTGTAAAATATCCAGAAGAAAGGAAAATCTGTTGTGTTGTGTTGGGCAAAGTTTCTTCGACAGAAGAGGTCGTGTAAATGGTAAAAAGAAGAAAGTGGTAATAGACAGTCAAGAACAAAGAGCTGAGTGCAGATCGGTGGTCCAGCGTTGCAAAGCTAAGTAAGTAAATAAGCATACTCATTTGGTTCATATTCAGAACACGCAAAGAACTTTTACAACTTCACAATCAGACAGCCCAGCAAAAATGAGTAAACCCTGACAGATGATCCACAAAGAACGTGTGCAAGTAAGCCAGCCTCTAGTTCCCCAGAACGTAAATGAACAGGACAGGGAGTCGTCTCCTGCTCTTTTCGTGAGCAGAGTGAAAAGTGATGGTGATGTAGGCCATCTGCTGCTGTGGTGCATGGCTGGCGAGGACAGAAGGCAGGGCAGCCGCCGGCAGCAGGCCACACAGCAGCTAAACAGTAGTTAGCCTCAGAGTCCACAGTTCTTTCCTGTTACAAAACAAAATGAAAGTAGACAGAAATGTGATAGCATCGTTCAGACAGCCTCAGGTAAGTCAGCCTGCTCATGCACAGGCTGAAGCGGCATACATGAGTCTCAGAAGCATCGTGCTGAGTTAGACAGTCACAGAGCCCTGCAGATGACCCTTTGTTGTGGCATCCGAGGAGAAGCAAAGCTTTGTATTTGTTGACCAGTGGTTTGCTTGGGTCCCAGAATCTAGGCAGGAAATTGCTTGTAAGGAGACATGAAGGAACTTTGAGGTGACAAAGTGTTTTGGATGTTATCTACTTTAGTTAGCATGAATTCTTAGAGCTTGTCAGTCTCTGCACTTGATGAATTTCTCTTCCACTTGACAAAGCTTGTGGGAAACAAACCACACACAGCACAGTAATGCTCCTTTGTTTTTAAACGTATTGTGTTTCTGTGTGTTTAGATTAGATTATGCTACCATTTGTTTGAAATGGTCTCACTTGTGGGGGAATTGTCTAAGGGGGAGGAAGAAGCTTGGCGGAGTTGTTATTTTATTTGTTTATTTTGACTTTTTGAGGCAGGGTTTCTCTGTATAGCACTGGCTGTCCTGGAACTCTCTTTGTAGACCAGCCTGGGCTTGAACTCAGATCCCCCTGCCTCAGGGTCATCGTGATTAAAGGCATGGGGCACCACTGCCAGGTGGGGTAGTTGTTCTAGAGCACTCAGGGAGTCTCACCGATAAAGAGAAGTTGTGCAGATAATTCAGCCAAGTGGATTCTCCACGCTTCTCACTGACCTTGCCATTAACCTGTAGATCTCTCTGGCGTTGCAAGTGAGCTCTTATCACGTCGCACTGACTGACCCGACCCTGTAGCATTTGCACCCTCACATGCTCTGTCACTTTTTCTTAGGGACAATAGTTTTATGCATTTTTACCCTGTAGTTCTTGCTTCTGTGCGCTGCTCGCAGGATGCAGTTAATTGGTTTGAATGGTTTGGGCTGAGATGAATCAGGTCACTGCTCTGTGTGCTAACCTGTGTTTTCTCTATTCAGTATAGTAGTAGAATGTAAGCAGAACCTTAAATAGACCCAGGGTGAAAACCAAACGTGCAGGAGCAACTTGGTGTGCAGTATTTTAGCCTGACTTATCAAATAGAATAGCTATAGGGCGTAAGGATGCTAGCACCTTCAGAGGTGTCCCTGGTGGACGAAAGATGAGAGCAGTAAAAGAAGGGGCTCCTGACTGTCACTGGCAGATCAAGAGGGTTATCTGGAAACAGTTGGCTATCTTTGTTTCATCTAGTCTACTTATGTATTCATTTATTTTTAAATAAATGAGAATGGGTTTATGTGCTGGCGTGTAGTGCTTGCAGTGGCCTGAAGAGAGTGTTGGATGCCCTGAAACTGAAGAAGCAGGTGTTTATGAGCTGCTTGATTTGGGTGCTTGTAATTGGACTCAGGTTCTTGGAGAGAACAGCAAGAATATGTAAGGCCCATCAGCGCTCAGTCACCTGTCAAAGCTTAACTGACTAGTGCATGTTCAGTCTCTTCCAGTAGGTGGCAGCAGAGTGCTTTGTGTCAGTGTTCTAGCTTGTCTTTGGGTTGCATAGTCCCAGGTACTGAATATTCTTTTAGTTAAGGCCATTGCTGATGCCTATTTTTTTTTTTTTGTAGACAGATCAAAGTGATACTGTGGTTGTTAGCTGTCACTTTACATCAGATGTTATGAGGAGCTAAAATAATAGTTTACTTTGTATAGGTTTTATTTGCTAACAACTCTTTAAACTGCAATTTTCACCCGCTACAGTATTATTAATATTTCAACATATCATTTTCTGCATCACAGCCTCTTGTAGAGAACCCAGCTGTTGTAGTCTGGAGCGAAATAAGATCTTATTAAATAGTACATAGCTTTGGGGGCATTTTTTGTCTGTGAAAAACATTCGCGTTTTTTTCTTTTGTAAACAAACCCAAAGCTGAGTTGCACAAGAAGCGTTTTAATGCAAGTAGTTAGGTGGGGCTGGTTTCTCTTCCTCGTTGCTTTACTCGCCTCCAGGAAGCAGTGTCCATACTGTGGGGGAGGCAACTCTTCCTCTGTTTTACCCGCTGCTCAGGAACGTGTGAGCTGCACTTTGAAAAGGCCAAAGGTCTGTAAGCTTGAAGAGTCGCTTAGCAAATAACGCTGGTGAATTTTTCTCACCAGGGATCTGTTGACTTAGGAGAGAGTTTTAAAACTAGTTTTTAAAAACAATGTAGTACTGAGGTCCCCCCCCCCACATAAAGTGCTTGCTAATTCTTATAAACTCGCAGGACCATCTATAACTGAACTCTGAGTCCTGCCTTGAGAATTCATGCAAACATGCTTCTTCATGGTCATGTCACTCAGCATGTGTCTCCCCGGATTCCCTGGTGGAGTGTAGAGACTGCCTTCACCGCTCTCCCCAGCTATGAAATTCTAAAGCAAGTCTGACCAACCACAGGACACTGTAATTCAGAGCAGCCGTCTTGCTCACATGCTTCTCTTAAGTCAAGAAGCAGCATAAAATAAAACACAGCAAACAGCAGAGAACAAAAGAGAACCGTGGGTTAAGGCTGCCCTGAGAGCAGACACAGTTGACTCAGCAGGAGGTGGGCGGTGCTGTGAGCCTGCTTCCCCTTCTGTCTGTCCTTCTTAAACAGTGTTGCTTTTCTCCCCCTCCTCCCTCTGACTTGGGCTTGATAACTTTCTACTGAAATGCGTTTTCCACTGAGACACAGCTTCTGCTAACCCTTCAGTATCATTCATAGGATTTAACCCTTCACAGTGTGTGATAGCTGGCTGAGTCTTACTCCACCCGCCCTGATAGAGTTGCTTTGTCTCAGAAGCCACTGATGTTTTCATTTTGGTTTAACCCTAGCTGATCCCACGGTTAAGGACTTAATCGGAGGCTTCACCGCTCTGCATTACGCAGCCATGCATGGCCGGGCCCGGATTGCACGCCTGATGTTAGAGTCTGAATACAGGAGTGACATTATTAATGCAAAAAGCAATGACGGCTGGACTCCTCTCCACGTGGCTGCTCACTATGGTAGGGACTCGTTTGTCCGGCTCCTCCTGGAGTTCAAGGCTGAGGTGGACCCACTCAGTGATAAAGGTACAACGCCACTTCAGCTCGCCATCATCCGAGAGAGATCAAGCTGCGTGAAAATCCTCCTGGACCACAACGCCAACATCGACATTCAGAACGGCTTCCTGTTGCGCTACGCTGTGATTAAAAGCAATCACTCTTACTGCCGCATGTTCCTTCAGAGAGGGGCAGACACAAACTTGGGGCGCCTAGAAGACGGACAGACTCCTTTGCACTTGTCTGCCCTTCGTGATGATGTGCTCTGTGCACGGATGTTGTATAACTATGGCGCGGACACGAACACAAGGAACTATGAAGGTCAGACCCCTCTGGCTGTTTCAATAAGTATTTCAGGAAGTAGTCGGCCGTGTTTGGATTTCTTACAAGAAGTCACAAGTATGTAACATAATTACTACTCTTATTGCATCTTTCCCTCTTAATTCGCACCTTCTGAGTTGCTTGAGATATTTTGTAATACAAGATGACTAGACATTAATCATTCCTATAAGTCCCACTTGGTAAGTAATACTCAATCATCCAAAACCCAATTGTGTTTCTAAAAGTGGACTGTAAAGTTTAGAGGAAATGACAGACATTTTTTTAGGATGAACAAGTTTTGATGATAGAACAAGGCAATTCCCACTGGTCCAAACAATAGCCTGTCTGATACTGTGTGGGATTCAGATTGAGGAATTGGAAGGAGGATTTGGGGTTTAGATTCCTTAACTATAGAGATGGTCCGGGTTCTGCACCTTATTACTGAATTCCAATGACAGGAATGCCACTCTGGCTCTTTTAGATACCCCAGTAATGGAGGTTAAGGATACTAGGAATTATTGTGAGAAAACACTAGGCAATTAGGCACCACGTCCCTGGGCCACACAGCTTTCATTGATGTCACTTTCCTAGAGACACTTTGTTGACACCTCCCAGTGTGATGTGTCTAGTGTAGAAGCATTGAGTGTCCACACTGCTTCCCGAGGGCAGTGTTAGTCCTGCTTCTCTGGGGCTGACCAGAGGTTAGTGTGTGAGCCAGGAAGCTGAGATCTGTAAACACCATTCATTTGCTCTTTGCTGTACTGTGCAGCACCTAGCTGCCTTCCCACGCGATCTCAGTTACAGAAGAAAGACCAGCTTCTGATTATGTGGCACTTAGGAGAGGCCAGGTTTAGATATGAGTTTTTAAATGTGGCAGCCAGGGGGCGGTGCCAGTAAGGACATAGAGCCTGGAGTGCGTGGAGATGTGTCAACTGGGGTGAAGTATAGGCATGACACAGATCACTGCCTACTCCTAAGGAGATGAACTGCCCTTTCCCCGTGATCAGGCTACAACTAGGAAGAGTGGAATTGTTTGTTCACGTGTCCTCCACATGGACAGTTTTGCGGAAGCAGGGGGATCTTGGGTGTTTGGACCTTTGTGGTTGGGTTACAGTTAAGGAGGAAAGTAGGTTGTGGAAATGCTTACTAGTATAAAGCAAAAAAAAAAAAAAAAAAACCAAAAAACAAGGGAAAGCTGAAGAAAGATTGTTGAAATGATACAATTGTATAGCTTTGTGAAAATATCTAAGTATAGCATAACCAGAGGATACGATTAGCTTCTAATGGAATCCGCCAGAGAGCTAGTTATAATTTAGCTGAGATTTTTGTTCTCATCATCTTCCTTTCACAGTGTAAAGTTCTCTAGTTAACCGGTGACTGCAGACTGCAGAGTTGTTCAGAATATGGACTATGTTCTAAAAACGTATTTATGTGTATGGGTGTCTTGCCTGTCTATATGTCTGAGCACCATGAGTGTATAGTATCTGAGGAGGGCAGAAGAGGCGTTGGGTCCTCGGTACCTAGTTATAAGAGATTGCTAGCTGTCATGAGGGTGCTGGGAACTGAACCCAGGTCCTGTGCAAGAGCAGTACTGCTGAGCCAGCCCCAGAAAGTAAAATCTCCTGGGAAAGACAGAGGAATTCATGAGAGGGCTTAACCTTGGGCAGAGACTAACAAAAGATGAGCCGGGCGGTGGTGGTGCACGCCTTTAATCCCAGCACTTGGGAGGCAGAGGCAGGCGGATCTCTGTGAGTTCGAGGCCAGGCTGGACCGGCAGCCTCCAAAACAATACAGAGAAACCCTGTCTTGTAACTACCAAAAAAAAAAAGATATTAAAAAGATGAGAGTTTAATGAATTCATGCCTGCAGTTTTATTCACAGAGAAATTGTAGTACCGAGTGATGGCCCATCTAGAAGTGCCCAAGCACAGATGATAGGCTAGACGACACCAATGCCTCTGCTGCACTGGCCGCTTATGCGGTGGCGAAGGGGAAGGCTGAAGAGAGCCCTGGTGGTGCACACCTGAGACAGGGGACTTTGGGATCGAGGACAGGACAGGCCGGGCTGTGTTGCAATGGGCTACAGTCACATGACCCTAGAGTGCAGTGCTTGCAAGGAGGCTGCCTCTGTATTTGGTCAGCAAGATTGTGTGTGGAAAGGCTGCGTACCTCAGAGGCCTTTCCTCATGAATGTTTCCCCTTAGGCAGGAGAGGGCCATGTTCAGAAGACAAGGTAGAGTTCAAAGTTGGGGCCGGGCAAGTGGAGTGAGGCTTTTCTCGGGGCATCTGGCCTCCTGCTCCTCACTTTGCTAGGGCCGTCCATGTCTGCACTGTGTAGAGCCTGAGCTCTGCAGAACTGCTGCTTCATTAGGGCATTAGGCAGGATTTCCCAGGCTCTAAAGTCTTCATTAGCTCTAAATGAATAACCCTAGATACTCTAAGTTCTCTGCTTACAGTAATTGCAACATCTATGGCACATCTATCTACGTCTGCTTCTGACGCTAGCTTTATCTCTTTGGCTGCTTTTCCTTTTATCCTGCCTAGCATGACACATAATTCCTTTTTTTAAGTTGAAGCTAGGCATGATGTGAAGACCAGCAAGAATTCAGATAATTGTGTACTCGTGCACGCGCGCACACACACACACACCGTTTTGGCCCTCTTGAGACTCTCTTGGCTATATAGCTCTGCCTGGCCTGTGACTTGCTGTATAGACCAGGCTGTCCACAAACCTGCAGTGGATTCCTCTGCCTATACCTCTCTGGCGCTAGGATTATATGTGTGAGCTCCACTTCTGACAGTCTTCATGCAAGGCTTCCTACTAATTTGGCTAGGTGTGGGGTTGTGTTTATGTAACTTCAGACAGCTGGATGCACGCAGTTCTCCGGTGGTGTTGTTTCTCCCTTGCCGGCACGTTCACGGTCATGCCCCTGACTCCTCCTCAGGTCTGTCGGCTTTAGCCCACTGTACCTGCACTGGAGCCGTATTGTAGTTTTAAGGTGTGGTGGTGTAATCTTCTAGTTCTGGTGTTTTAAGTGAGCCTGTGTCCCCAGGCTGGAATCACCATGTGTGTTTTCCCTTAGGCAGGTTTTTGTTCCTCCAGGCCTCTCAGGTGAGATAGGAAAGCCGATCCTGAGAAGTGTCTATTCCTGGATGAGTCTCTTCCTTTGGAGAGTCTTAGTTAGGGAGCAGCGTGGGGTGCCAGCTGTGCACACCCTCCCTGCCATAGCCATCAGGGTCTTTATTGCTGTTCTCTTTGAGGACTGTCAGGGTTCCTCAGACTGGCTCTTGATGTCCTGTCCATCCATGGTCTCCAGTGTCTGTGTTTGTGGGCCCCATGGCTTCTGCTCAGGTAAGCATGTGTCAGTATCAGCGCTCTGGGTCTCTCGCAGTCTCCAGAGCTTTTGATAAAGGTGCCCTGCCTGCAGCCTCAGTGTTTTTGATTGCTCCATGATTAGGTTCAGTTTTTAAAGTTGTGCAAGCTTTTCTTCTTCCAAGAGCTCAAGAGGGACGATGTCTAAGCTCTACATATGCTAGATTGCAATGGCATGGAATCTGGTTTTCTCATTGTTTTCATTTGAAGTGTGGAAGCATCCTTCAGTTTCCCTCACTTTGAGATGAGGATGGTTTTGCTCACTGGGATCAGAAGCTCCCCTCCCTCTCTCCATCATCTCAGGCTCTCAGCTGTGCCCATGTCGGATGCTGTTAACCCAGCAGAGTGCCACAAATGACTTGCCTGATAACCTGGGGTAAGGTCTTCAGCCCCCAGCCCCACCCCACAGAATTCGGTGCCTTCCTCAAAAAAAAGGGGGGGGGGATTGGACCTAATTCTTGCCAACTACTTTTAAAAGCCATGGTTTTCTATTATTTGGGAGGGAGGAGGAAGGAGGGGGAAGGAAGATGAGAAGGCAGGCAGAGAGAGGGAAAGAGAGGGCCATATAGAACTGGTTTTGTCATCCTTTCCCCAAAGGATGGGTGTCTAGGGGTCCACAGATTGCCTTAGACGCCATCAGGTCAGGTGTGTAGCTGGGGCGCTTGCCCTTCACACTGTGATGGCCGCTGTGCTGCTAATGTGTGAGCTCTGGAGGGAAAACTGCTTCCAGGTTAGCATGACAGACAGCCTGGTGGGTATGGTGCTGATGAGGACTGTTCTCTTCGCTGCCAGGCAACCTCAGTCATGAGTATTCCAACCCATTTACAAATGTCTGCGACAAAGCAGGAAACGTAATTGAATTAACTCTTGTCCCTTTGTGCACATACCTTTTAAATGTTCTGTAGATGAAACTGACTGAGTAGAGGAGACGGGACAGGTTTGTCTGAGCTGCACCAGTAGCTTTTTTTCCATGGAGAACCATTTTTCCTTGAAAGAGTGACTGACAGCCCAAGTATACCGTTTAATCATGGGCACTTAGCAAGCGTTTTCTTGGAAATGCACAAAGTTCACTTGTCACTTTCGGGAAAATGACCACAGTATTGATGACCAGTCAGACTGTGAGCTTTGAAAACTAGTATTTACCATTGTGAGAGTCCTACTATGTAATATTTTTTCTGAGATTAGTGGAATTTTTTTTTTCTGATACAGGGTTTTTTTTTTTCTCCGTATTGTTTTGGAGGCTGTCCTGGAACTTGTTCTGTAGACCAGGCTGGCCTCGAACTCACAGAGATCCACCTGCCTCTGCCTCCCGAGTGCTGGGATTAAAGGCGTGCGCCACCACCGCCTGGCTTAGAAATAATTTTTTTTAAGTATTGTTTTTGGTGTCAAATAATGAAATTGGATAACAATTTGAAGACATGCATAACCTAATATGCTGTGTATTTCTGATGACCAATTTATGTTCCTCTGTGTATGGGTCAGTGGTCCACTAAAAGTTTAAGTTATACCAATGAACTATAATGTAAAAGTACAAAAAGTTCATCAATGTAGTTTTAGATCCAGCTGTTGGGGCTGGGGAGATAGCTCAGCTGGTTGTGTTTGTAGGTAAGCACAAAAACATTGGTTTGGATACCCAGCACCCACATACAAAGCTGGACATGGTAGCATGATTTTGTAACCCCAACATGGAAGGTGGGAGGGTGGGA